TAAAACAAAAAATTGCATTTTTTCATGACTCTATTTTTCAAACTAAATGGTCAAAACAATATGATTGGAAATGGAACTCAAATATTCAAACTTTAAATACGAAGCGCTTTACAGTTCCGAGTGTTAAGATGTTGAACTAACATTCATTTAAATTGAATTAATTATTCAAAGATAAATTGAGAGCTAATAAATTATCGGATTCACACAATCATTCTGATAATCCCCCCCCAAATTTTCCCAAATCTTAAAAATTGTAATAAACTTATTGCGAAAAATATTACCTCGGCCGGGAGTCGAACCCGAACTCGTCTCGATAGTCTAAAGGCTTAAGACGCTCGCACGGAATGCAAGAGATCCAGGCGACATAATAATAAAATATGCAATTTTTAATTGCTTATATCTCAATATTTAAATAATCAATCTCAATTATAATAAATAAAAATATCCCATTAATTGAAATTTTTTTTCGCTTTAATAGAAACTGATAATAGTCTTGTATACTAAAAATAGATCGTTACACATAAATGTAGCAGACGCATACGCAAGGTGTGTTTTCTTAAAAGTAACAATCTGTTTTTAGTAAAGCGAAAGAAATTTTCAATTAATAGAGTATTTTATTTATTTTATAAAAATAAACAATTTTATTATATAATCTAACCTTAAAGTACAGTTTACAGTTCTGGAATTAATTCTTGGCACTCGGATTGTTCGAAGATTACGTGATCAAACTCGCCATGTGCTAGCTCGCATTTCAGATTTACATTGCCGAACGCATCTAATTATGCGTGGCTTGTGACAAAATTAAATGTTTTGTTACTGACATATTTTCACACTAGAGGTGAAAATAAAATTCTTTTCGATATATTTATATTTTCGATTCTCAGAACAAAATCTTAATCATTTACTTTTGCATCGGGCGTGAAACAAAACGTACAGCGTTTGCTTTTGGTTTTGTTCCTGGGTCGAACTTCTCGAGTTTTTGCATGCCATCCCTGAATTCATCTATTTTCGATTTATACCTATAAGAGGACTTACCTAAAATGATCATTCGCTGGGCACAGCGCACAGGAGACGTCCTGAGGACCAGTGTTCTTTGAACATTGTTCTAAGAACATCCTCGTGGCGTATTCCTGATAAGATATGTTATTAGAGTTCAATCCCGGCTCCTCAATTGTTCGTTTCCTCTTTCTTAATTGCTCATTATCATTCATTATCGCAATGTTATTCGTTTTATGTATTCAGACGACGATATACCAGATAATACGTGATAAAGTAATTCGCAATTATGGGTATCTTAAAATAAATTACAAAATAACTTCTCTATTTCGCGTACTGTTACGAACGGAACCCACGTGGAGATCAAATTCAAGAGTCCGGTCATGAGAAAAGTGGGCTTGAAACACGATGTAGGAAAACTCATAGAAAATTCGACAGATGTGATTTTGGTGCCATCACGACTTGCGGGAAAAGTTGGAAGTACTGACTCACAGATGATTACAGGTTACATGTATGTATTAGGTCAATCGGAAAGTTCCGTCCGTTTTTTTACAAAAAATATAGTTTTATTTAAAAAACAAAATGAAAATATACCTCAATCAAAATATTGTCCATCGTTAGCGATGATTTTTTCCCATCTTTCGGGCAATAAGCGAAAGAATGACTCATCTTTGGAGGCTATCCACTCAGAGACCCATTTTCCGACATCTTCATAAGAATTGAAGTGTTCTGCGTGTGTCATTGGTCGAAACAATAGTCGGAAGGGGCATAGTCTGATGAGTAAACCGCATAAGATAGCACTTCCCAGCGAAGTGTTTCTAACAAGTTTCCTTGACAAGTTTTGTGACGTGAAGCCGAGCGTTGTCATGAAGCAAAATCATTTTATGCTTTCATATTCTGGTCGTTTTCCGTGCAATGCTCGGCTCAAACGGATAATTTGTTCTTAGTAGAGATCCCCTATGACTGACTGACCAGATTTCAACAGCTCGTTATACACTACACTCTTCTGATCCCACCAAATACAGAGCATTGCCTTCTTTCCGGATATTCCGTTTTGGCATCGATATCGATAGTTGGTCTGGATCGCAAATGGTTTTTCGGCATTTGAGGTTATCGAAATAGATTCACTTTTCATCGTCAGTCACAATTCGGTGTAAAAACCCCTTTCTTTGTTGCCTAGCAAGCAGAATTTTGCAGATGGTTTTTCGCCTTTCAATGTCTCTTGGCTTCAATTTATATGAGACCCATTTTCCTTCCTTGTAGACCTTTCCCAAGGCTTTCAAACGATCGGAAATAACAGATTGAGCACAATTTAATGCTTCTGCAAGTTGTTTTTGCGTTTGATATGGGTCTTCATCTACCAATGCCTGTAATTCTTCGTCTTCAAATGCTCTTGGCCGTCCAGAACGCTCTTTGTCCTCCACATCAAAATCACCACTTTTAAAGCGTCGAAACCATTCTCTGCATGTTTTATCGGAAGGAGCATTATCACCATAAACTTTTATAATTATGGGAACTTAACTTCCACTCACTTTTTATTAGAAATGCGCCTTCGTGTGCACAAAATGTGGAAGTCTTATATCTCCTTAAAAGTGCCTTTTACGGGCATTAAACATTGTATAAAAAATTAATAAATAATTAAAATAATCAGAACTCTTCGGAAAGCGGTAGAATATACATTCAGAACTGTATAAAAAGTACCATAAAACTAACAGAACTCTTTAAAACAGCGTTTCATCTTCGTTCTCGTAAAGATTATTTTTTAGGGAAAAAAGTTATTTAAAAATCAAAATAACAATGTTAAGCGTCAGAACTCTGTATAGAACTATGTACATTTTTTTGAATTCTATAAGAAACTGTGGCTGAAATCTTCTTTAGATAAAGTTAAGGTGCATTCACATACAAGCGTCAAGCAGCGGAAGCAGCAACCGATTAACGAGGCGATTTTTTGCAGTTACGAAAAAATATTTTTTATACCATTCGTATCGCCTAGCTGATTAGTTGCCGTTTCCGCTGTTTGACGCTTGCATATAAATGAACCTTTAGCTACCAAATGAGATATGCACACTCAGCTTCGCACACACGACATGCTAATCATTATAGATATTATAGATATTATAATATATGTATAATTGTTCCAATTTTCGTCTTCTAGGAGTTTCGTTTACACTTTTGTTACTTTCCAATTACATCCGATTTACACTCCGATTTTTATTTTCATTAGGGATTTATTATATTTTATTATATGTGATTCTCGACCCCGTAAGAAAAGTCTACATAGAATGAATATTCTACGTAAATTGAGGGACAAGTTTATATAATGAATATCTAATTAAAAGATAAATAAGAAATTTAATGCACGTAAAAATCATTTTTTATAATGTTATTTTGAGTTTAAATAGAATCTTGTGTTATAGTATCATCATAGCTACATGGTAGAATAACTCCTCCCATTACGCATGGTGAGTCAGAAAGTTGTAATAATTAAATAATTTAATTTATAATTAACTTCAAGAGATCGATTTAATAACAATTATTTCAATAAATAAAAATGTAATCTAGTATTTAGATATTAAAATTGTCAAAAAATATTTCAATTTAAGTTCTTTTATGAGAAAATATTAAATATCATTATTGTGTCAAATAATTGGATAAATAATAATCTTATATCTAAGTGTGACAATAAATCTTATTTAGTCAAAGAAGAATAAAGGTTTTGGAAAGAGTAAAAAATGTTGACACACATTTAAAAGATCATTGTCAGAATATATTTCCTGCGCTTTTTTTTCTAACGGCAACAGACTGTTTGCCATTAGCTACAATATCATTTTACTCATACCACTCTCTCTTTCGCATTCATAAATATGAAAACACATGCACGCTGCAAACCGCGAAATAAGGAATATATTTATCTGTACACCATTGACCGCAAGATTTTTTAAATATATTCTCCCACGTATATCTTTGTTCATTATTCGGCCTTAAAATAAATATTGTCGTATTAGTGCTTTCAAGTATTTCGGTGATACAACTAACAGTTGTTTCGGAATTTTCGAGTTCTTTATTAAAATTTCGCAAACGTTACATAATTTGTACAAACATCTGTTATATTAATATTTATATTATTAAGAAGAATGATTGTATAAATTTCTAAAAATAGAAATTTCTAAACCGCATGTTAAAAAACGTTTAAAAAATGCTATAAAAGTTTTCTTCAAAATTTGTACATCTTTTCGGCATTCTTTAGATTATATTCATACTATTTAAATTTAGTTATATGAATATTTTATGTATATTTATATATTAGACTGACAAGAAAAAATTTTTTTTTTAATCTCTTAGCTCAAAAGTTTCATGTCAAAAGAATATTCATAAATTTTTATTTAAAAATATTAAAATTCAGAGTTCGCTAGTGAATGATTTTTAAATCAAAGTTTCGGTTTTCCTTAATACATATTTGATTTAACATAAAAATGACTTAATCCGGATTTTAAATATAGTACTATGTATATGCTTTTTTGGTCGCTGAACACAATACAATAATTCAATTAGGTCTACAATATACATCTTAAGAAACGCAGCCCAATTAAAAAAAATGACCAAATTTCGAGATCAAAGTCGATTTTAGCATGGTTCCAAGCGTTCAAATGGGTCGTTACTCCTTTCAAATTGTAGGTCTGTTTACTCAAAATTCAGAATTTTTCAGACCTTCTACAAGGTCTGAAAAGTTACATTTAACTGGATTATAAAATGTTTTTTA